CGGGCCGACATTCCTCATCTGCAGCTCGGGCATCAACGCGCGGCGGCGTCGACCTGTCATCAGTGCGAGCCAGACTTTGAATCAGACGCCTGCGACATTGCATCGGAATTTCTACAGGGACGTCGCCCCAGCGAACTTTCGGGGCGATCCACGGAGGTAGGACTTGATGGCCGTGAAAATCACGAGGTCTAAGTTGTTCCCCCGGTAAATGCTTGGCGCCACGTGAAGTGGCGGTCCGAGTTGTTCGCAGAAATTCCAGATGGCCAGATGCATCAATATGCCTTTGAATGTGCGAAGCCAGCTCCTGGTCTCGTCGACCCACCATGATTATGGCAGCCAGCATCGGCATTTCATATCAATGACAACATGGTGGACGAGCCGAAGACGGGCCACCTCGCGCCCGCGACAGCGGCGGACGTCGATTATCTTGTCCCGATTGGCAAGCATGCGCGGCTGGACTGGGCGCGCTCTTTCGTGGAAAAGAAGGTCGGAAATGTCACGGGAAGGAAGACGCCCCCTCTCTCATCTTGGGATTGAGCGCCGCAAGTTGGCAGGGGCTACGATCCCCGCGGGCCGGGGCGCCTGCATGGCCACGATCGAGCCCCAAGCGCGGAATGAGACAATTTCGAGGAACGACAACCTGCAGCGCACGGCAAGTGAGACGCCTTTTCGATCATTATCTTGCCAACTGCTTCATCTACATCAGACAAGGTGGGATATCCGTGCAAGAAATACGCAGTCACAGACTGAGCAGACGGCCCCGGCCATCAGCGACTTCAGCTCGCCAGCATCCTGCAGAAGGCGCAGGAGAGCCGTGGCCGGGCAGGATTCTATCTCAGATTACCTGACCCTTTCGACTTGCCAGCACCGGCGACGCAGCCCATGCCATGGAGTTGACATCACACCACTATGAAGTGCATGGGCTGTTTCTCGCGCAAGATTGACCAGCCGAATGCAATCTGGATGGCACCGTGGCAATGCGTTCATATGATCATAGATGTGGCACAGCGCGTGCCTTGTTAGGTCAGAGCAGGCAATCGAAGAGACGCTTTCTCCACGAGCCCTGCGGAGATAGCGGCAGCAGTCGGCGGTTCACAGACACCGCAGTTCACAGCATTGCGTCTCACGGAATTGATCGCCACACTTCCATTGGCAAAGGGTATTACGACATGAAGAAAGATGATATATCCCCCTCGGCCCTGTCACGGGCTGTTTTGACCTCTGACAGCTTATGCTGACAGGAACGAAGGGAGTTCCAGCGGACAAGACACAGAGGCCGAGTATCCTGAGTTCACGGGTGGATCGTCTATCTGGAAGAACCCGAAGGCTCTGTCACTGCTGGTTTACCGAGGTGATGGTGTTGGACACGTTGTTAAACAATGAGTATGTCCACTGGTACAGGACCATCTGAGGAATGAAGATATATGCGACAGCGGACCACTCAAGATGAGGAGTTATCACCATGAGAGAGATCAATATCATGGATACTTTCACCGAGCACGGGTTGTAATCGATCAAGGTTTGATCGGATCCCTTTCTGTAGAAGCACGGCATCATAGTGGTAAAAAAAGGCCCTGCAAAGATGGGTTTGTCAGCTCTCCTGGGGCTTCCAGAGGTCACCTGAAATTCCCTACGTCGTCACTGCCGGCAAAGGGCTTGAGGCCCGAACGTCGCTCCTCTTATAAGCACAGATCATTTGAATAGTGTGGCTCCGGTGCTGACAGGCCCGTCCCTCCTCTCCTTCCTCCAACCTCCTCTTCGCCCTCCTCATCCTCTTCATCATAATTTTGCTCCTCCTCCTTTGTTTCCTCCTTCCTCATCCTCCGATTCCTTTTCCTTCATCACTCTCCTCTTCCCCCTCTTGGGGTACGACGGTGTCTTCATCCATGCGTTCCTCCGCATGCCCCCCCCCCCGGTCATTGATCATGGCAACTCGCGTGGGCATCGTCTCTGGATGGGCTGCCTTTTCACCTCCTCCTCCTCATCCGCCCATTCCACTGCATGCCCCTCCACATCCCTGATCAACGCAACTTGCCTGGGCGTCGCGTCTGGATGGGTTAGTGGGGTTACTCGAAGCGTCTACTAGAATAACGAACTGCTTAGAGTCCACGCTGGCAAACATTCTACGCGTCCGTAGAGTAGATGTCCTGACCTCTTCTTCTCGTTTTCCCTTTTTTCCCCTCGCATATCCACCCGTCCGTTCTCCCCCCCCCCGCCCCCTACCACTCCTCCCGGCCCCGCCGCTCCTCTTGCCCCCCCCCTCGCCCCCGACCCCCCGCCCGTCATCTTTCGATTCCACCCCGCGGCCTCCCCCCTTCCCCGTCCCTCCCCCTCGTCATTCTCGATCTCCCCCCGCCTCCCTCCTACCCTTCCCTCGGTCCCCCCCCCGTCCACCGTTCGAGGAGGGCCGCCGAGGACGAACCCACGTTCTAGCAACTTCGAGTTTCAAGTCTGAGCCGCCCTCTGCCTCTGCGTCTCCGCGCGCCAGCCGTGTTGTTTGGGTTTCGAAGCGGCGGCCGCAGCGCGCGGCGCGGATCGCGGCCACAACCCGACGGCGACCGCAGCAGACCGTCATCGTCGTTGTCGTTTTCTTTTTTGCTCTCTTCCTCCTCCTCCTCCTCCTCCTCCTCCTCCTCCTCCTCCTCCTCCTCCTTTGTCCCCCGTTGCGTGCCAGTCGGGGCCGACGCTCTGGGCAGCGCGGCTCGCTGAGCAAAAGTTCGGTGCGAATGTTTGTTTTTCGCTCTTGGCCGAGAGGCCAGGTTCTCCGTCGCCCCTTGTTCAGCGTCGACGCGATGGATCATGAACTCCGCGTGGGCTTTACCTTCGAAGCGCGGAGGGTCCACGGCTGGACAAACGATCCGAGTCCCACATGTGCCAACACCTTGTTGGGTAATTATCGCACTCGCGATGTTCACGACGAAGCTCTACCACCTCTGGAGCTCGTGGACCCCCCAGCAGCGAGACGAATGCAGGCGTTACTGAACGATGATGAGCGCGGGGTCCTAATTCGGATTCGGACAGGATCCGTTGGCCGAGCTCGACGGTGCAGGCATCCCGTCGTCCAAGAGCCGCCCGCCTGGCCATAAGCGGCAGGCGGGGCTGTCACCGCGTGCAGGCGCTCACCTTCAGGTGAGCGCGTGCCGCGCACTCCGCCTCGTCGCCCCCGCTCGCCAGAGGGCCCTCTTCCGTCGCCACTCGGTCAGGCCGCCGGGCACGACGAGCCCAGCACGGCCCGCGGTTCGAGCTGGGGACCGACGTTGCGCCCGTCGCGCCACGCCCGTTCTGGACCAGGACGGGTACCATGGCGCCCATCGCCTCCCGAGAGCACGTTGCGGCGATAGCCGTCAAGGGTACGGGCAAGGGCAAGGACAAGAACGATCCCCTGCCAGACAACGCCGCTGACCTCCCCAAGAAAAAGGATCAGAAGAATAAGGGAAATAGTAATAACAAACAAGAAAAAAGACCCGCTGGGCTCGGGAGAAGGTCCAGCGTCGGCGCTCCGGCGCGGCCCTCCGCGCGGCCAGCGCCGACGAGCAACGGCAGCCGCCTTTGCCCAAGGGCAGAGCGGGTCCGACGGATCGTGAGGCGATCGTGCCCAAATCGTGTGCGCACCCCACTGGTTCTATATCATCACCTCTTCTACCACCTACCAGGCCAAGGCGCTACACCTCCGTCTCATCATTCACGCGACCCGGGGGCCATCATCTTGCCTGCGCGTCAGAGCAGGGTTCCAGACGTCATGTCTGCGGCCCGAAGTCTCCAGCATCACACAACGCGGCACAGTGTAGCTCACACCATCATCAGTCACACGTGTGAGCTCTCTGTGCCGTTCCAAAGAGCACGAGCGAGCTCACCAGTACTGTGCACGAGCTTGCGCCGTCACGCGCGCGCGCCCGTCAGGTCAGACAGCGACGGCGTTTCCTTCCCTGCCAAGTCTAGAATGCGCTTGCAGTTGGACAGCAAGGGCTCCCTTTTTTCCTTTGGTCTGTCTTCTCCGCCAGAGCTGTTCGATCGCCCGCACAATCCCGGCTCAGATGCGAGAGGTTCCGCTGTTTGGTCGGAGCGTCGATGCATATCTTCTTAATGCATGATGAGTAAAATACGTATCACTGCAGGCACGCATTCTTTCGTACAGCGTCCAGTCCCCGCAATGATCGTCCTTCATCGTGTTCACCTTTTCCCTCTCTCTCTCCCTCTCTCTCCCTGTTTGTGGTGTTTCCTATCTCTCTTGTTTTTTTGTTTCTCTCTCGCTCTCTCTCTCTCTCTTTCTCTCTCTCTCTCTCTCTCTCCCCCTATATATATACATGTATGTTTATGTGATGTTTCTCTCTTGTTTGTTTCTCTCTCTCTCTCTCTCTCTTTCTCTTTCTCTTTCTCTTTCTCTTTTTTTGTTTCTCTCTTTCTCTCTCTCTCTCTCTCTCTCTCTCTCTCTCTCTCTCTCTCTCTCTCTCTCTCTCTCTCTCTATATATATATATATATGACACTCATTGAAGATAATTGTGCCTCACCTTCTGTCGAGCACGACCGTGCGCATTTGTGCTCTGGAAGATTTTTCGGCAGGAGCCGCGTCCGCGCATGGCCGTTCCCGTGAACCTTGTCGAGGTCGGCGTGCGCTTGACCGAGCTCTGGCTGCTGCGGGGGCACGCCTGCCCATCTTGCAGCTGCCCGGCCTGCCCCGCCCAGACCTGCTCGCTGACGTGCAGCGGGCCGGCCTCCAGCCACACCGAGCCCCGCGCGGCTCTGGGAGCGCCGGGAGGCCCCGGTTGGCTCACCGTGTGGCTGGCCGCGGCGGCCGGGGCGAGCCTCGCCTGGCTCGCCGCTCGCTGCTGGCCCCCAGCGGCCAAGCTCACCGCCGCCCTCGCCAGGGAGGCGCCGCCGGTCCCAGACCGCGCTGCGCCGCTGGCGGCGCCCGCCGCGGCGGCTGGGCCGGTGACGCCGAGCCAGCTCGCGCTGCGGGCGTGAGCTCGACATGGCGGCCCGCCTCACGCTCGACCTGGAGGAGCCGCAAGTGATGATCGACTTCCCAGACGATGCGGCGGGCCTGCGCTGGCATCACCGTCTTCGTCTCATCCAGACGCCCTCGCTGGGCGTCTGGATAGCCAGCACCCCTGACTACTCGGTCCTGAGGCTGGACCTCAACGTGCACCGCGTCATCGCGCTGGCGCGCAACGGCCCCTTCCCCGCGGCTCAGTGGAACGAGAGCTACATTTTTGACAGCCCGATCCCAGCGGCGGACCTCGCGCGGATCAGGCAGCAGGCTGGGTCGCTCGGCGTCGTCCTCGGCCAGGTCGGCCCAGCGCCCGCGGCCCCTCAAGGTGCGGCCAGGGTCTGGCGAGTCGCCGACCTCTCACATCGCGCCTTCGGGGGCGAGATCCCCGCCCAGGTCCTCGGCGACCCAGCCGCTGACATCACGCCCGGCGCCGCGGGCGATGAGGACTACTTCTGCGGCCTCGTGTTCTGCCAGCTCGTACCCGACCCTGACAAGGACGCCCGGGAGAGGGCCCTCGTCTCAGACCACCGCAAGGACTTGCGGGTCGCTGGCGGCACCCGCGACCCGCTGGCAGACCAGCGTCTGTCGTCCTTCGTTGACTCCTTGGCCCTCCAGCACGCCGCCGCGGACCCACCGTTCCCTCTCGGCGGCCAGAGGGTCGCGCACGAGTGCATGCGCACCCTGCGCGCCACGGGCATGGAGTGGGTCGACCTCACACATCAGTTGGACTTCGTCCACAAGTCAGGCATCTCGCCCAACAGCAACATCACGCGCGCGCACCGTCGCCTGACGGACGCGCTGCGCGCTTTCCAGCAGCAGGACATGCTGAACTTTCCCAGCCTTGTGGGCATCGAGGTCCTGGTGCGTACCTCGTCCAGATCGAGATGGCGGTCGCCCGCAACCCTCGGAGCCCGGACTTCCAGGACCTCGACGCGGTCGTCGCCTCCACCGTCAACGAGTACGGCGGCCTGGTCTTGCCCGAGTACACCAAGTACATCGCCCAGATCCAAAAAGACGAGGCTTTCACTTTGAAGCAGCAGCGGCAGTGGCGCGAGGAGCAGATCTCGCGTGCGCGGGGCCGCGGCGCTGGCCACGATGACGGACCCGGCGACGGCGCCGGTGGAGGAGGCGGCGGCGGCGGCCGCGGGCGCGGTCGCGATGGCGGACGCGGGCGCGGCGGTCGGGGGGCCGAGCCCCGGCCGCCGCCGACGGATGACTCCCGTCGGCCAGGCCGCGGAGAGGCGGCGCTCGCCCCGGCGCCGCTCGGCCTTTGATACCTCCGCGGTCTGGTTCTCTGGGGGCCGCGCGAGAGGCCCTGCTGCCGAGGGGGCTCCTCGATTTTTGACTGGCCGCGCCCGCGGCGATCCTTTCCTTCTGCCGCTGCTGCGCAGAGCGACGCCGACGGGAGTGCTACCGCGCGGCACCTCGTGCGGCGTGCGGCGGCGGCGCAACCGGGCGATCATGGCCCCGAACGACCTGCCCGCGAACGCTGCCCAAGCATCTGTTCTCCAGCGCGTTCATCAGCGAGTGGCTGCCTTCGTCGAGCCGCTCGGCGAGGACGGTGATGACGCGCTTCAGTCCATTCTCAAGTCCAAGGACATCTACAGCGCTCGGCCAACTCCTGTTCGGCCCTATGAAGCGCATATTTTGAAGATTCTCGACAGCGGCACCCGTCCGCCTCCCATCCGCTCGCTGGCCCCTGATTCGTCGCTGCCGCTCATCGACCACCGCGAGAGGTTCATCTACCGGTCGCAGGCAGTGCTGGACACGATGACCGAGACCGGCGAGCTCGCCCCAGCGCACCCGTTCTGGGGCGTCAACCTGAGGCGCGACCCCGAGCTCAGGCTCGACCTCTTCAAGAAGCTCATCCGCATCGGGCTGGTAGGCGCGCGCGCCCGCTGCCGCGCCCGCGCCGGCATCTTCTTTGTAGGCAAGAAGGGCGGTGCGCTGAGGATGGCCATCGATGGCCGGGAGCCCTCGGCCATGCACCGTCGGCCCCCGCGGACTGAGCTCGGCTCCGCCGCCGCGCTCGGCTGCCTCTGCCTCGACGCCGACACGCCGGTGGACGGCGACTCGGGCTGCCGCGGGGCAAGTGCCGACTTCCGCCAGGGCTTCTTACCAGATGCAGTGGCTCGAGGTCGGCTCCTGGTTTTGCTTCGACTTCCCTATGGCCATCATGAACTTCGACCTGGACTCCGTCTACGACGAGGTGAGCCGCTCCTACGTCCACGTCGACCCTGACACCGCGGTCTACCCTTGTTTCCAGGGTCTCGCCATTGGTTGGAGCTGGTCGCTCTTCATCTGCACTGCCATCGCCGAGGACGTCACGAGGATTGGCATCGGCCATGTCCTCTCGATCCCCGCGGATGCCGCCAGGATCGTCTCCGAGCGCGCCCCTTGCGCCCGCCCCGGCCGTGGCGAGCTGGCCGGGGCCTCATGCGTCGACAACGCCAACGTCGCTGGCCCCTCGCGGGAGCTCGTGGACGCGGCGCTGCGCGCCATCCTCCGCGAGTTCGAGAGGCGCGGCCTCTCCTACCGCGAGGTCTGCCACGCGACTCAGGACATCGTCTGCTGCGGCGTCCGTTTTGACGTCATCGTCGGCCGCGCCGTGCCGCAGCGCGACCGGGCCTGGCGGTTGCGCCGTGCCATCACCGCCCTGATCGATCGCCGCGGCTGCACGCCGACGGCCATGGAGGTGATCCTCGGCCACGTCGTCTACCACTTCATGCTCATGCGGCCCGCCCTGGCGATCCTGAGCTCCCTCTACCGCGTGGCCTACTCGGAGGCCGACTACTGCAAGTTCGACGTTGAGCAGCTGCGCGAGCTCGGCCTCGTGAAGGCGCTCATCCCGCTCGCCGGCGTCGACCTCGGCGCCCCATGGCACCCCTGGGCCCACTGCTCGGACGCCAGCATGTGGGGCTACGCTCTGGCTACGTCCAAGTTCGAGCCCGACGAGCTCAGGGACATCGAGGCCTACCGCGAGCGCCGGCGTTTCCTCGCCCTGGACCGGTACTCCGACGAGGGGCCTCCCAGGCGACGAGTGCTCTACGCTGGCCAGCTACGCTGCCGGCGCTAGCGACGACGCCGCCTTCGCCGGCCTGGGCCCGCCGCCTCCTGGCCGCAGCGCCCCGCGCCGCCAGCGTGCCGCGCGGATTGACGTCGAGACGCCCTCAGCCGCAGCTTGCCGGGGAGGGATCCCGGCCCTGCCTGACTCCGCCCTGGCGGCTCGCAGGTGGCAGCTCGTGGTGCGCGGCGCCTTCATCTTCGGCGCGCCGATCCACGTCCTCGAGGGCCGCATGACCCTGCTCGGTCTCCGCCGGGCTACCCGGTCCGTCGCGGCCCACGGCTGCCGCGCCCTGTCGATCGGAGACAACCTCTCGTCCATGATGGCTTTCGAGAAGGGCAGGTGTGCCAACCCTGTCCTGCGGCAGCTCGCCTGCCAGGCTGCTGCGCGGCAGCTCGCCACGGGTATCCAGCACTACCACCGCTACTCGGAGAGCAAGCGGAAACCCGCCGACTACGACTCCAGGGCCGCCGACCGCTTCGAGCTCGCGCCCGGCCAGACGCAGCGGGGCGCGGCTCGCGACCTCGGCGTCGCCGGCGCCGCGCCGGCCCTGCCGCCGTTGTGGGGGCCGGCGAGCCGCCGCCCGGCTCCGCACGGCCCCCCGCGGGCCATGGCGCTGGGCCCCGCCTGCTTGGCGACCGGCCGCGCACCCGCGCCAGGGCGCGGCGCATCCTCGAGCTCTACGCCGGCTGCGCGCGGCTCACGGCCGCCTGCCTCGACGAGGGCCTCCAGGCTTGGGCCCCCGTCGACATCTCGCGCGGCTCCTGGCACGACCTGACCGACAAGAACGTGATCGGTTGAGTCCATGTGGGGGGCTGGTACGGCCCCCGACTGTAGACCCCCCCAAACAGGCGGCGACACTTGTGTTTTCAGTTGTGTTTTCGCTTCGTCTTGGTCCGCCGAATCTCAGGTCAACACGAATCCCGTTGGAAGGCGCAAAGAGACGCCTGGCCTTACGGATGTATGTCTCGACGCACAAGCATACTTTGGTCGTTTGGATTGTAAGGACGATCCGTGTGCGCATCCCCCCCTGCCAACAAAAACTCACCCCGAATATCCTCGCACCCCGCCGTCCTGCCAGTACCCTTGTCCTCCCCTCCCTAATGGGCATCTAGGTTTCTTCGGGCCAAAGGACAGGAGACGCACCGTGATGATACGAAGCAAGTAACGGAGCACAGATACGGAAGCAACGCAAAGAGGAAAGAGTCAGACAGGATGATAATATCGACCAGCAGGAAGGGAAAAAGAGGATCGTGAGGAGGGCTAGGAGAAAGGAGGATGAGGAGAGGAAGAGGAACAGTCGAACAACTGCTCTGATTTTTTTGTAGTCACGTGATAGGGTCTCGGGAACTCCGCGGATGGTTCTGGCACGCCAGGGGCCCGCGAGAACGGGCGCGGGTCCGTAGCCCACGCCGTTCTTAGGTCATCATGAGTCCATGGAACCCATGTTATGTAGCGGGGGCTACCGCTTGTCTATGAGAGAGGAGAGAAGTATTCATTGTGTGTGTTCTGGTCAAACAATGACCCTGAGGGCAATCTCGATCTTTCGTTGTTGTTGTGTTTCTCGAAACCGTTCTGGCTCAAACAGCGGCTTTGGACAAGGTCCTCGAGAGATCAATCTTCAGATGCTATGATTTTGCCTACACTGTTCGGTGTGGCCCTCCATATTCTTCTGGTTGTTGCTGCTTCGACGGCTTCACCTCTCCATATCGAGTTCAGTGCAGCAGCGACGCTCGCTTGGACACACTACATATCACAGGCCCCCAAGGCCGTTCCATATTCTTCTGGTGGTTGCGTCTTCGACGACGGCTTCACCTCTCCATATCAGTTCAACAGCAGCGACGACGCTCGTTTGGACACACTACACAGCAGCGGCTTGCTCGATATCGGCGCAGGCATGGACTTAGACGAGGCCCTCGACGGTCTCGAGATTCCTGCAGGCTTCATCGGCGACGCAGATGCTGCCCCCCCCGTCGCAGAGGATCCTGCAGGCTTCATCGGCGACGTCGCAGATGCAGCCCCCCCCGTCGCAGAGGAGATGCAGGTCGATGGTCTGGACCAGTTCGGCGAGCTCGACGCCGCCGCCCTCGTGCCGAAGAGGAAGTTCGAGAAGAACTCCGCCCTTCACATCGCCAACGCGAGGGAGGCCTTGTACAGGAAGCGTGCGAAGACCAGCAGCCAGAAGCTGAAGGTCATAAGGGGGTGGGGGTTGCAAGAGCTCGCGTTAGTGGCCACTTCTCCTCTTCGCTTGCTGACCGAACGCATGGCGCGCATCGGTCGGTGAGTGGATTGGCGAAGGGCCTCGACGTCGCAGCACGTGCAGTCCCCACCGTTGGAAGGACCAGTCGGCGGCGCATGACGCCGCGATCAGGAACGTCCAAGCCCTGATCCCAGCTGCCAGACTTCTCCCAGGGACGTCTTGCACATCAACCTTGGGGAGAAAGCGGAAGCTCAAGGCAGTCGGTGGAAGCTCAAACCCTTGCTCCAGCAAACGCCCGAGGGCGGGGGTGGGGCCCTGAGGTTCCGTTGGGGGAGGGTCCTGAGGGTACATGGGGAGGGTCCTGAGGGTCCTGAGTGCCTAGTGCGGGGAGGGGGTCCTGAGGCTCCTTGGGGAGACGATGCCAATGGGTGGCTGGAGCGCATGGGTTTGGGCTTCGACAGGCGTCTGATTTCCAATTGGCTGTGAAGGCAGTGTTCTTGAGGGCTAAGCAGAGGGTTAACATCGGCGTGGACCATCGTCGCCTCCAACTGGCTGCCACGAGGTACGTGCTTCGCAGACAGATGCGTGCAGTCCAGCATTGTTTGCGGAAGAGCTCGGCGTCTTTGAGCAACGGTGGAGGGCCTCAGCGCACGGTGCACGTCGCGGTCGGGCACATGTGGGACGAGGTGGAGGTAAAGCAGAGTTGGAAACCATCGGAACGATACCGAACACTACGGAAGAATATGAGCATGCCGACGTTGATACAGCGCAGCACGATGAACCTCACATTGTACGACCACGCTCACGACCAGCATCGGCAATACCAAGAATACTTCCTGACGCAACCACTCGAGGTCCACGGCACGACCGCACACGATCTACTACCAGGAGTCCGACGAGGAGTACCAGCAGCATTCGACATCTTGAACAGGCCAGCTTTGTACGAGGCATTGGCCAGCGTCTCTAGCTTAACGTTTGCGCCCATGTGCGACAGGGCCAGCGCCAACGTTGTCATGATACGAACGTGGGGGCACGAGGCTGAGAACAAGATCTACTTGGAGAACCCCGTGCTAGGGAAAAAACTTCTGTATTTTCCCGACACTTGCGGTGTGCACGCCCACCATAGGGGCAAACTCAAGATCAAGGGATTGCGCAGCCATACGATGAGGCACTACTCGATATCTTCAGTTTTCAGGTTGCGAGGGCAGCTTTCCAAGAACATTGCGCAGATCGAGCGTCTCATTGAAGCCAAATTGGTTCGTGAGGTGGGCCCTCCTCCGCCGTGGGCGCACACCATGGAGCGCGTTGTGGACCTCCTGTACGACCTTGAGGCTGACCACCACAAGCGGACCACGAGCAATGGCGGCCAGTACGAGTCACAATTGGTTGCAGACCTCAGGGAGCTTGCGAAGATGGCCAGCGGAAGCCTCTCCAACAAAGCATTTGCGCATCACTGCTGGGACTGCGCTACAGGCAGGGCCTGCTGCACATCCAGGAAGCAAGCGGTCGAGAAAATGATGACAGCGGTTGTCCACGCTTTCCATGGGTCATCAGACCCACGACCAGCGGAAAGCCGATGGACACATTTACTGCAAAGCTTTAAACGAACACTCATCCGCCGTCTCCTGCATCGCATCGGCCTGGACTGTTACACGGGCTCCGTGACTCCAGAGGACATCGACGACACCACGGCGGCAAACGTCAGCGTAGACGAGGAAGGGGCGCAGGAATTTTGGTCTCACCTCAATCGTGTTCGCCGCAAGAAGGTGAAAGAATACTACGAGTCTGATCGTGTGATGAACGAACTTGTGATTTACACTAGTGTATTGGAAGCAACTGACTCGAACCTTCTTTATCCAGTTCTTGGCGACGCTATCCGAGATGCGGAAGGTGATAAGAGCAAGATGGACGTCCTCCTCGACAAGGACTCTTCCAGGATTGGCGCGTTCAGCGAGAACATGCTTCGACTGATTGACAACTGGAACTCTGGGGACCCAACTCGTGGCCACTGGGTCTTACTAGATATCCTCGGTGCGCCGCTTACCAACCAGGAGTTCGCCAAATGGTCGAGAGGTCAGGTCCTAAAAATGAATTCCATCATGTCGAGGAGATACGAGGTCAGGTTCGCCACATGGCCTTACAAACTTTATGCATTGTCTCACGGAAGGTCGACCGAGGAGGAGAAGAATGCGATTGCCCGCGAAGCCCTGGCCGTCAACAACTACATGGTCGACTGCTACACGATCGGCATCCGTCGGCTGTGGCCCACGCCAGGGGCATTAACTTCAAAGGCTTGCCGAGTTGTCTTGGAGAGTGATTTTCGAGCTCATTGCTATGGGACAGACCAGGTGGAGCGCCTCAACTCAGAGTACACTACTCGACATACAGCCCGCGCACCAGGAAAAAATTCAGTAAACTCATCGCGGGAACATCTCCTCGGTCAGTTGAATGCTATTCACAAGAAGCACGGTGGAATGGACCCGCTTTCAATGGATTCTATTTGCAACATTGCTCGCGAGGAGGTGGTTACTTGTTCGCCGCTTGCGCTGGGCTCTGCTGGAGTTCAGCCTGCAGGAGGACCAGCGCCAGACGCACGAGGAGATGCATGCCGACCTGCCCTCGAGGATGCGCCTGTGGATGCAGAACAACAGCTCGTTGTTGCGGAGCCTGGGATCTTCCATGCCAACTTCGTGGAGCCAATTTCAGAGCAGAGGCCGAACCCGATGTTGCCGCCGCACGCGCTCACGCAGGGCGACGACAGCAGCGCCAAGTCGAAGAAGGGCTTGAACCCGTACCTCCTTGAGAAGAACAAGTACCTACAGGCAGCCAGATCGGCGAAAGGGGCAAGCCTCACCGCAGAGGAGGTGGAACAGCATTCGGCAGCCTTCAAGCAGATCTGGATGGAGTCGGACCTGGACGTTTACGCGGAGGCATACCAGTTGTGGCGACAAAGGCGGGACAACGACGAGCGACCTCCTGCGCCTCCGAAGTATTCGTTGTGCTGGGGAGGTGGGTGCCACGGTGCGCCAGTTACTCCAGAAGAGATGTGCGCTGAGATCGAGGAGTTCGGCTGGCCCACCTTGAACGACATGCTTGACAAGAACCTTGAAGAGAGGAGCGTGCCCCCTACCGCCGACTTGGACGTGAACGAGAGCGCTGGTTACGATCCTTGGGGCGTGGCTCGCTCTGCACGCAATGCAGACAGAGCTGCGTCGAGGTGCCCTGCTGCGTTCTACTTCGTGGAGAAGAGCGTCTGGAACTACTTGGCCTCGGTCGGGGCTGGTCGTGGCACATCGGATCCAGCTGACGTCATGATCGTCATTGCTGGGCCAGCGGTTGGAGGCGGCCACAAGCGGTACGCGGTCTTGGTGACGGACGTGACGCTGAACCCGCAGGTGTTCGACGTGACCATCAACGATTTCGAGGACTGCGCGAACGCAGTCTCAGAGGACTGTTCACATTGGGCCCTTCAGCGAAACCATCTCCCCACGCAAGGAGAAGGGGGAGGAGGGGATGAGGAGCAGAGAGAAGGAGGGGGAGGAGGAGGAGGAGCAGGATGAGGAGGCGCAGGAGGAAGAGGATGAGCAAGGGGAGGAGCAGG